CTCTGTCTAAAAAAAAAAAAAAAAAAAAAATCAGCAATTTTTTTGAATACCATACATTGGTTATTTATCAGGCAGTAAAACAAACTTTGATAATAAATTGCCTATAATAGAATTTGGAAAAAAAAAAAAGAAAAAGAAAAATATCACTGTGACAGCTATTAAAGCTATGAACTAATATTCTGCTTCTCCTTCCAGGAATATGGTAGGGCTGTACTTAACTGTCTTTGGTAATAGATATGGCTGTGTGGCTATTTTATTTTTTTAATCTGTGGTTTAGACTCTAACAGCTTGATAAGATATAATTCATCTACCATAAAGCTCACTTTTAAAAAGTTCATAAAAATATTCAGGGTGACATAAATAAATATCAACAATTGTCTGGATGTAATGCTGTTAGGGTAAATAGTAATTGAGAGAACTGTAAAGTTGTTTCTACGGCTGATTTCTGCTATAAATTGCTGTTGCATCCAGAATTATTTCATAGCTATTCTTCCTGTATGTATTTGCCAGCTTTGAGTTAACACTGATTAATAAAAATTGTAAATATTCACAGTGTACCTAGTGACACTTTAACGTATACATTGCAAAGTAATTATAATCAGGCTAATTACCATAGCTATCACCTCACATAATTAACTTTTGGGTGGGTTGTATGGTGGGAACACATAAGATCTACTCTCTTATCAAACTTCAAATGTACAATAAAGTATTATTTACTATGGCCACCACGGTGTACATTAGCTCTCTAGAATTTATTCACCCTGACTGAAACTTTGTACCCTTTAACTAATACCTCCCCATTCCCCTCACTCCCAACCCCTGGCAACAACTATTCTACTCTCTGCTTCTAAGTTCAACATTTTTGGATTTTACATATAAGGCTGAAACAAAATATTCTTTTGTATGCATACATATAACATTTTCTTTACCCATTCCTCCATTAGTGGACATTTAGGTTGATCCATATCACAGCTATTGTGAATAATGCTGCAATGAACACAGAAGTGCAGATACCCCTTCAAGATACCTATTTCTGTTCCTTTGGATATATAATCAAAAAAGGAAATTCTGGATCATACGGTAGTTTTTAAAGTTTTTGAGGAGGCCTTATTCTGTATTTCATAATGATTATACCAATGTGTCCTCCACCAACAGTGTACAAGGGTTCCCTTGCCTTTACATCCTCACCAGAGCTTCCTGTCTTTTTGATGATAGCCATTCTAACAGGTGTGAAATGACAAGTCATTGTGGTTTTAAACTGTATTTTTCTGATGATTAGGAATGTTGAACATTTTTTTCATGAATCTGTTGGCCATTTCTATGTCTTCTCCAGAGAAATGTATATTCAAGCCTTTTGCCCATTTTCAAATTTGTTTGTTTTCTTGTCATTGAATAGAGTTTCTTATAAATTTTGGATATTAACCCCTTAAACAGATGCAGGGTTTGCAAATATTTTCAACCATTCTATGTTGTTTTCATTGCTGTGCAGAAGCTTTTAGTTTGATGAAATCTTTGTCTATTTTTGCTCTCATTGCCTGTGTTCATTTTTAGATTTTGTACAAAAATAATTGCCAAGACTATTGTTAAGAAGAATTTTTCCTGTTTTCTTCTAACTGTTTCACATTTTCAGGTCCCAGATTTAAGTCTTTAATCCACTTTGAACTGATTTTTGCATACGGTGTGAGGTACAGGTTCAATTTCATTCTTTTGCGTGCGAATAACGAGTTTTATCATTTATGGATGAAAGTGTGTTTTTCCCATTGTGTGTCCTTGCAAACTTTGTCAAAAATATACCATAAATGCATAGATTTCTTGGTTCTCTTTTGTTCCATTGGTCTATACGTTTCTTTCTATTTCAGTATTTTGAAGTAGTGTAATGCCTCCAGCTTTGTTTTTTAATTTTTTTTATTTCATTTTACGTTCCAGGGTATATGTGCACAATGTGCAGGTTTCTTATACAGGTATACATGTGCCATGATAGTTTACTGCACCTATCAACCCATCCCTTAAATTTTAAGCACCACATACATTAGCTATTTCTCCTGATACTCTCCCTTCCTTCACCACCACTCCCTGACAGGACTTGGTGTGTATTATTCCCCTCCTGTGTCCATGTGTTCTCCTTGTTCAACTCCCACTTATGAGTGAGAACACAAAATTTTTGGTTTTCTCTGTGTTAGTTTGCTGAGGATGATGGCTTCCATCTTCATTCACGTCTCTACAAAGGACATCATCTCATTCCTTTTTATGGCTGCCTTATATTTCATGGTGTATATGTACCTCATTTTCTTTATCAGTCTATCATTGATGGACATCTGGGTTGGGTCCATGTCTTTGCTATTGTGAACAGTGCTGCAATAATCATACTTGTGTATATATCTTTATAATAGAATGATTTCTATTCCTTTGGGTGTATACCCAGTAATGAGGTTTCTAGGTCAAATGGTATTTCTGGTTCAGGTTCCTTGAGGAATTGCCACACTGTCTTCCACATGGTTGAACTAATTCAACTTTCCCACCAACAGTGTAAAAGCATTCCTATTTCTCCACAGCCTCACCAGCAACTGTTGTTTCTTGACTTTTTAATAATCACCATTCTGACTGGTATGAAATGGTATCTCATTGTGGTTTTGATTTGCATTTCTCTAATGACCAGTGATATTGAGCTTTTTTTCATGTTTGCTGGCCACATAAATGTCTTCCTTTGAGAAGTGCCAGTTCATATCCTTTGCTCATTTTTTGATGGTTTTTTTTTCTTGTAAATTTGTTTAAGTTCCTTGTAAATCCTGGATATTAGTACTTTGTTGGATGTGAAGATTGCAAAAATTTTCTCCCATTCTGTAGGTTGCCTGTTCACTCTGATGACAGTTTCTTTTGCTGTGCAGAAGATCTTTAGTTTAATTAGATCCCATTTTTCAATTTTAGTTTTTTTTGTAATTGCTTCTGGCAAGTTCATCATAAAATTTTAGTCAATGCCTATGTCCTGAATGGTATTACCTAGGTTTTCTTCTAGAGTTTTTATGGTTTTGGGTTTTACATTTAAGTCTTAAATCCATCCTGAATTAATTTTTGTATAAAGTGTAAGGAAGGGTCCAGTTTCAGTTTTCTGCATATTGCTAGCCAGCTTTCACAGCACCATTTATTAAGTAGGAATCCTCCCCATTTCTTGTTTTTGTCTGGTTTGTTGAAGATCAGATGGTTGTATATGTGTGGCCTTATTTCTGAGGTCTCTATTATGTTCCATTGGTTTATATAAACTGTTTTGGTACCAGTACCATGCTGTTTTGGTTATTGCAGCTTTTTAGTATAGTTAGAAGTCAGGTAGTGTAATGCCTCCAGCTTTATTATTTTTGCTTAGGATTGTCTTGGCTATGCAGGCTCTTTTTTGAATCCATATGAATTTTAAAGTAGTTTTTTTCTGATTTTGTGAAGAATGTCAATGGTAGTTTGATGGGAATAGCACTGAATCTATAAATTACTTCGGCAGTACAGCCATTTTCACAATATTGATTATTTCTATCCATGAGGATAGAATGTTTTTCCATTTGTTTTTGTCCTCTCTTACAAATATTTTTTTTTTTTTCTCATTAAACTTTTTTAATGGGTCTCAAAATTCTGTGACAAATTTTTGGTCAAGTTGTTTCCATTAAAAAGTACTGATTTTAAAAACTAATAACTTAAAACTGCCACAAGCAAAAAAGAAAACCAAAGTGGTCCACAAAACATTCTCCTTTCCTTCTGAAGGTTTTATGATGCATTGTTATCATTAACCAGTCTTTTACTACTAAACTTAAATGGCCAATTGAAACAAACAGTTCTGAGACCATTCTTCCTCCACCACTGATTAAGACTGAGGTGGCAGGTATTAGGGGTAATATTCATTTAGCCTTCTGAGCTTTCTGGGCAGACTTGGTGACCTTGCCAGCTCCAGCAGCCTTCTTGTCCACTGCTTTGATGACACCCACAGCAACTGTCTGTCTCGTATCACGAACAGCAAAGCGACCGAGAGGTGGATAGTCTGAGAAGCTCTCAACACACGTGGGCTTGCCAGAAACCATATCAACAATGGCAGCATCACCAGACTTCAAGAATTTAGGGCCACCTTCCAGCTTTTTACCAGAACGGCAATCAATCTTTTCCTTCAGCTCAGCAAACTTGCAGGCAATGTGAGCCGTGTGGCAATCTAGTACAGGGGCATAGCCAGCACTGATTTGGCCTGGGTGGTTCAGGATAATCACCTGAGCAGTGAAGCCAGCTGCTTCCATTGGTGGGTCGTTCTTGCTGTCACCAGCAATGTTGCCACGACGAACATCCTTGATGTTCATTGAGGCTGAGCGGGAGCAGAAGCAGCGTGACTTTGACCGCAAGCTCCTTCTGGCCAAGTCCAACATTGAAATGGAGGAAACCGACAAGGAACAGCTGACAGCAGAGGCCAAGGAGCTGCGCCAAAAGGTCAAGTACCTACAGGATCAGCTGAGCCCGCTCACCCGGCAGCGCGAGTACCAGGAAAAAGAGATCCAGTGGCTCAACAAGGCCCTGGAGGAGGCACTGAGTATCCAAGCCCCTCCATCATCTCCACCAACAGCATTTGGGAGCCCAGAAGGAGCAGGGGGCCTCCAAAGTTGTGGTCACGCACAACGAGTTACTGAAACAGCAGATGAAGATCTTTGAGGAGGACTTCCAGAGGGAGCGCAGTGATCGTGATCTCATGAATGAGGAGAAGGAAGAGCTAAAGAAGCAAGTGGAGAAGCTGCAGGCCCAGGTCACCCTGTCGAATGCCCAGCTAAAAGCGTTCAAAGATGAGGAGAAGGCAAGAGAAGCCCTCAGATAGCAGAAGAGGAAAGCAAAGGCCTCTGGAGAGCGCTACCGTGTGGAGCCCCACCCGGAACACCTCTGCGGTGCCTACCCTTACGCCTACCCACCCATGCCAGCCATGGTACCACACCACGGCTTTGAGGACTGGTCCCAGATCCGCTACCCGCCTCCCCCCATGGCCATGGAGCACCCGCCCCCACTCCCCAACTCGCGCCTCTTCCATCTGCCGGAATACACCTGGCATCTACCCTGTGGAGGGATTCGAAATCCAAATCAGAGCTCCCAAGTGATGGACCCTCCCGCAGCCAGGCCTGCAGAACCAGAGTCTGCAAAAAATGACCGTGAGGGGCCTCAGTGAGACCAGATTGTGTCATTTGGCTCCACCTTCATCTTGCAGAGCCAGATGACCTCAGATTGCCGAAAAGCTAGAAGTCACATGCACAGTGTGGCCAGAGCCTCAACTGGATGAGAGGCCGAGATGGGTGGCCAGCTTGTACCCCAGTCCCTGAACTGAGCTGTTTACAAGACTAGGGAGGCTCTGCCCAGAAGGCTTTCATTTGCACTCTGCTGGGAGTGACTGGGAAAAACTCACTACCCTGCTGCTGAGTGAAGAGAGACTTCATCCAGTTCTGACCTGCCATCCACTGCAGAAGCCTCCAGGAGCAGCAATCCTAAGAGTGGGGGGCGGCCAAGACCCCCTTCCTTCACAACATCACAGAAGTGGCTTCAGGCCCTCTGGGTGCCATGACCAATTTGTGTGTATGTTTATTTTTTGCTTCAAGCTCTGTAGCAGGACCTGTCGCACACACAGCCCTACCCCTCTGTGAGGAGCCGTGGGAAGTGTGGGATTGTCTCCGGAGCAGAAGAGAATGACGGATGTTCTGACTCTGGGGCCGTCACCACCTCCACTCACAGTAACCTCGCTGAAGCCATCACAGATGGGAGAAGGCCATGCCAGCCACGTCTGCTGAGGGGCCCCAGCCTGAAGCTGCCAGGCCCTGAGGTTCAGACCCTTGACCCTGCAGCTGGAGGCCTGTGGTGCCAGAAGCCTGGATTAGGGTGGCTGTCCATTCCTGGATAGCTATTTGCACGAATCATGGACATAAATCCAAGTTGAAGATCAAAAAAAAAAAAAAAAAAAGCAGTAGTTTGTAGTTCTACTTGCAAAGGCCCTTCATGTGTGATATGGTTTGGCTTTATGACCACAGCCAAATCTCATCTTGTAGTTCCCATAATTCACACATGCTGTGGGAGGGACCTGGTGGGAGATGACTGAATTATACAGGCAGTTCTCTCCAGTGCTGTTCTTGTGGTACTGAATCAGTCTCACAAGATATGATGGGTTTTATAACGGGAGTTGCCCTGCACAATCTCTCTTTTTGCCTGCTGCCACTTGCTCCTCCTTGCCTTCTCATGGTTGTGAGGCCTCCCCAGCCATGTGGAACTGCAAGCCCAGTCAACCTCTTTCTTTGTAAATTGCCCAGTCTTGAGTATGTCTTTATCAGCAGTGTGAAAATGGACTAATGAAGTAAACTGGTACCAGTAGAGGCGTTGCTGAAAAGATACCTGAAAATGTGGAAGCAACTTTGGAACTAGGTAACAGGCAGAGGTTGGAATAGTTTGGAGGGCTCAGAAGAAGACAAGAAAATGTGGGAAAGTCTGGAACTTCCTAGAGACTTCTGAATGGCTCTGACAAAAACACTGATAGTGATATGAACAATAAGGTACAGGCTGAGGTGGTCTCAGATGGAGATAAAGAACTTGTTGGGAACTGGAGCAAAGGTGACTCTTGTCATGTTTTAGCAAAGAGACTGGTGGCATTTTACCCCTACCCAGGATATGTGTGGAACTTTGAATTGGAGACAGATAATTTAAGGTATCTGGTGAAAGAAACTTCTAAGCAGCAAAGCATTCAATAGATGACTTGGGTGCTGTCAAAAGCATTCAGTTTTATAGGAAAACAGAGCATAAAAACTCGGAAAATGTGCAGCTTGACAATGTGATAGAAAAGAAAATCCCATTTTCTGAAGCAAAATTCAAGCTGGCTGCAGAAATTTGCCTAAGTAATTAGGAACTGAATGTTAATTCCCAAGATAATAGGGAAAATGTCTTTGGGGCATTTCAGAGGACTTCATGACAGCCCCTCCCATCACAGGCCCAGAGGTCAAAAAGGAAAAGATGGTTTCCTGGGCTAGGCCAGGGCCCCTCTTCTCTGTGCAGCCTATGAACTTGTTACCCTGTGTTGCAGCATTATTTGTGGTGGTGTAGATTTAGAGGCAAATGGTTATCCATTGGGGTTGGTCTTCTCATGGAGTATCTTAGTGGAGTTTTCTGTATTTCCTGAATTTGAATGTTGGCCTGTCTTGCTAGGTTGGGGAAGTTCTCCTTAAGGATAATATCCTTAAGTTCTCCTTAAGAATAATATCCTTAAGTGTGTTTTCCAACTTGGTTCCATTCTCCCCATCTCTTTTGGGTACTCCAATCAGTGGTAGGTTCAGTCTTTTTACATAGTCCCATATTTCTCAGAGGTTTTGTTCATTCCTTTTCATTCTTTTTCCTCTAATATCGTTTGTCTACCTTTTTTCAGCAAGATAGTCTTCAATCTCTAGTATTCTTTCTTCCGCTTGATCCGTTTGGCTATCAGTATTTGTGTATACTTCACAAAGTTCTTGTGCTGTTTTTCAGCTCCGTCAGGTCATTTATGTTCCTCTCTAAACTGGTTATTCCAGTTAGTATCTCCTGTAACCTTTTATCGAGGTTCTTAGCTTCTTTGCATTGGATTAGAACATAAGCCTTTACCTACGCAAAGTTTGTTATTGCCTACCTTTTGAAGTCTACTTCTGTCAATTCATCCATCTCATTCTCCATCAAGTTCTGTGCCCCTGCTGGACAGTTGTGATTATTTGGAGAATAGGCACTCTGGCCTTTTGGGTTTTCAGCGTTTTTTCATTGATTCTTTCTCATCTTCTGAGTGTGTCTAGTTTCCATCTTTGAGGCTGCTGACCCTTGGATGAGGTTTTTGTGGGGACTTTTGTTGATGCTGTTGTTGTTGCTGTTTTTTTTTTTTTCTTTTAATAGGCCCCTTTTCTGTAGGCCTGCTGTGGTTTGCTGAAGGTTTGCTTCAGGCCGTAGTCATCTGTTTTGCTTCCATGCCTGGAGATTAAAGAGGCTGGTGAACAGCAAATATGGATGCCTGTTCCTTCTTCTGGATCTCTCAACTTGAGTGTCACTGACCTGATGCCAGTGCCAGTAGGAATGATCCTGTATAGGGTGTCTCACAACGCCTGTTGGGGCGGTCTCACCCAGTTGGGTGGCACAGGGAACAGGACCCATTTAACAAAGTGATTTGGCTGTTCCTTAGTGGAAGATGTGTGTTGCACTGAGGGAAAATCCACTCATCTGGGTTGCCTGGATTCCTCAAAGCTAGTAGGAAGAAAGACTAAGTCTGTTGGTCCACGGAGATTACAGCCACCCCTCCCCCTAGGGGCTCAGGGCCAGGGAGGTCTTCTGCCCCTGAGCCCTGGGTTGAGTTGCTGGAGTTCCTGCAGGGAGGCCCTGCCTATGGAGGTGGGATGTATCAGGGTCTGGCCTGAAGAGGCAATTTGGCTGCAGTCTGTCACAGCCACTGTGCTGGGCTGTGAGGATACCTCTTGGGTCCAGCCATCCAGCCTCCCTGGCTCCAGCAGGGGAAAAGCATGGCTTGGAGCTATAGTGATGGCTGCTGCCCTTCACCTTCAGGGAGCTTAGCGTGTTAGGTAGCTGGCAGCCACAGTGTTGGCTGCCACCCCTCCCCAAGGAGCTCAGATGGCTTAGACAGCAGGCAGCCACAGCAGTTGTGATGGCTGCCCCTCCCCTCAGGAACTCTGCAGACTCAGGCAGATTCTAGCTGAGTGGCTGTTGAGAATTTGTGTGGCTCTGTGGTTAGAGTCCAAGGCCCCAGTGGTGTGGGCTCATGAGTGGGATCTTCCAATCCATGGGTTGCACAGTTCCATGGAAAAAGGATGATGCCCCAGGCTTGGTAGCATGCTCATTCACTGCTTCCCTTGGCTGGGGATGAGGGCCCCCTTGCCCCATCTGGCTCTCAGGTGGGCCACTGTACCACACAGCTCTTCCTTCCTCTCTGTGGGTCATGCCAGCCACCTAGTCAGTTCTGATGACAGAACCTGGATACCTCCGTTGCTAATGCAGGATTCACATGCAGTTTTGGTTCTTTTCAATGGGAGCCTCCAACTGCTGATGCTTCTAGTTGGCCATCTTGGCCTCACTAATCCTTGCTATGTTTTTTTGGCTCGACTGATTTGACTATTCATTCTTTTGTGGTCCCACTCAAATTTCAGAATCGTTTTTTCTATCTCTGTAAAAAAAAATGCTGTTGAAATTTGCACTAAATCTGTAGATCACTTTCTGTAGTATGAACTTTTAAATAATATTAATTCTTCCAATCCATGAACATGAAATATTTTCCATTTACATATTCTTCAATTTCTTTCTTCAATGCTTTATAGATATCAGTATACAGAACTTTCACCTCCAAAGTATTTTATTGCACTATTGTAAATGAGATTTTCTTGATTTCTTTTTCACATGGTTAGTGTATAAAAATGATACTGATTTTTGTACATTGAGCTTGTATCCTGCATTTATTTGCAAAATCTATGCATATCCTCCTGTAAACTTTAATTTTTAGGTTATTATAATATCTAATACAATGTTAATGTTAAATAGTGGAGTTTTTTTGTATTTTTCATTGCATGTTATTTTGTTTAAATATTTTTCATTTATGATTGGTTGAATCCACAGATGCAGAACCTGCAGGTATGGAGAAATAATGGTACTGTATTGAATAGTAGGGGTGTGAGTGGGCACCACTGTCTTCTTCCTGTTCTTACAGGAAACATTTTCAGATTTTCACCACTGACTATGATGTTAGCTTTGAGCTTATCATACATGGCCTTTGAGGTATATGTTGAGGTACATTCTTTCTGTACCTAGTTTGTTGAGAGATGTTATCATGAAAAAATATTTATGTCCAATGCTTTTTCTGGATTGAGATGATCATATAACTTTATCCTTCAATTCTATGCATGTGGTGTATCACTGTTATTAATTTGTGTATATTGAGACACCCTTGCACATCAGGGATACCTTGCATTTGTTTATGGTGTATAATTCTTATATATTGGACTCAATTTGCTAGTATTTTGTTATGAATACTTGCATCTATGTTCATCAGGAATAATGGCCTAAAATTTTCTTTCCTTGTAGTGTCCTTGTCTGACTTTGGTATCAGGGTAACAGTAGCCTGTATAGTAAGTATGCACAGTGAGCATGGAAATGTTTCTTCCTCTTCCATTTTTTTTGGAAGAGTTTGAGAAGGATTAGTGTTAATTCTCATTAAATGTTTGGTAGAATTCCCCAGTGGAGCCATCAGGTTTTGGTCTTTTCTTTTCTGGAAGGGTTTTTGATTACTGATTCAATCCCCTTACTTGTTATATTGCTCTGTTCAGATTTTCTATTGCTTCATGATTCAATATTAGTAGTTTGTCTGTTCTCAGGTATTTATCAATTTCCTCTAGATTATCCACTTTGTTGGCAGATAATTGTTCACAGTAGTCTCTTATGTGCCTTTGTATTTTGTTGGTATCAGTGGTAATATTTATTTTACATTCATAATGTTGAGTTTTTTTCTCTTTTTTCTTAGTCACACTAAGGACTTATCAATTTGTTTATCTTTCCTAAAAACTAACTCTTCATTTCATTGACATTTACTATTTTTCTAGTCTCTATGTTGCTTATTTCTGCTGTCATTTATCTCCTTTTTTTCCTGCTTTGTGCTTAGTCCTTTTTCCAGTCCTTCAGATGCAGTCAGGTTATTTCTTTAAAAAAAAAAAATGCTATAACTTATTCCCTTAGAACTGCTTTTGCTCTATCCCATAAGGTCTGGTTATTTTGTGTTTCCCTGTTGTTTGTCTCAAGATATTTTTACATTTCATCATTGAGTTCTTTTTTGACCCGTTAGTTGGTTGTTCAGGAATATGTTGTTCAATCTCTACATACTTGCAAATTTTCCAGTTTTCCCCATTTTAGATTTCTGGTTTCATACCACTTGAGTCAAAAAAGATACCTGATACACTTTTAATA